GGGACGATTGTTCTGAGTCGAAGGGTCTCCTTTATCACGGCCTTTAAGTATGGGAGCTTGTGAGGTCGGGCTCCGTCACCTGGATTCCCAGGCCGAGGACAGAGTCGATCTCGGCCCGGAGCTTGGTTTGGACTCGCGGGTTGTTCACTAGCTCCGCCACGGCCCATTCAAGGGCCCAGATGGTTGTCTCTATGGCTTTCTCATTGCGTAAAAAAGTTAATCTTTTTATATTTTAATTTAGAAATGTCACTCATTTACTATATAAGGTGAGGTGAGGAGAAGAAAAAAAGAGAAGAGTATATAATCTACCAGCAATATTCATGTTCTCAATAATGTAAAGTATATTAGCTTCATTGATCTCCCCTTTCTCCCCTGCTTCAAGAAAGTGATCAAGTGCACATTGTGAACTAATGTTATCATTATTATTAGCCTTTCCCTCTGTTCTTCCAACTTTCCTGCAGGCCAAACAAACACATACCATCAAGAATCATCGGTTATAATTCAAAATGATAAGACGAGCGCAGATTAATTTTGAACTGACTTTCTTTCGTCGAGAAAACTTTCCTTGTACAATCTCAACCTCTGGCTCGTCACCTCCCGGCACATCCTCAAGTACCCTCCCAAAAACGGCCTCAGTATCGGAATAAAATCCCCAAAGTTGTACCCGATGTTCTGCCCCAGCCGACTCCTCTCCTCGTTAGTCTCCTTCACCTTCCCATAAAGTGGGTCCCGCTCCCCCTCGAACCTCCCCGGAACATCATCTTGTAGATGTTGTTGTACACCATGAGCTGCAGCCGCCGCCTGAGCACCACCCCTTCTCCGGCGGCTGCCGGGTCCCGCCTCAGCTCCTCCACCACGGCCGCCGCCTCATCCTCCCACCTCCGGTGGTGCTCCAGAACCGCGCGAGCCGTGAAGAAGGGCACGGCCACAATCCTCCGCATCCGGCGCCAGTGGTCCCCGTACTCGGTGAAGATCATGTCCTGGCCCCGGCCCGTGAATACGTCCAAATCAATGTTGCGGGATCGGGAGCCGAACTCGGCGCCCTGGCTCAGGAGAACTTGGCTGGCGAGATGCCGGGAGGAGACGGCCACCACCTTGAGCTGGCCCATGCGGACGAGGAAGGAGGTCGCCGTAGGTCTTGGCGAGTCGGGCAAGGGTGCGGTGGTCAAGGTTGTTGCCGATCTTGAACCAGCTCCCGAAGATAGGGAGAGGCGTGGGGCCAGACGGGAGGTTGAGGCAGCGGCAGCGGTGGAAGAGTTTGGAGGCGAGGATGGCGGCGGCGGCCGCCGCCAGGAGGAGGCTGAGGAGGAGAGGATTCATAGTTAGCTTGCTTTTTCTTGGGGTTTGATTGGTGTAGAGTGTGGGTTTTATAGGAGTGAAATTGTGTTATTTAATTATGCTTATTTTTTTCTACTGAGAGTTCTCTGTTTTAGCAATAATAAGAGCAACCAAAATTTTGTTCCAGACTGTGTGAATGCAGCAGTGTTAAAAACTTTTGAGGGAGAGCTTTGCTGTTCTTGTAGTCCTACCCGGCTCGATTCCAGATTAGTCGGTTCCCATGTGGATCCGAAAACCGGAAGGTTCTTATAAAAAAAAATTTAAATGTCATTTTACATCAATTCCCATGCCATCTAAACAGCTTGCACTTGAATCTTCTCATTTTTTTTTTAAAGAAAAAAAGTCAACTCTGATGAAATGATTCGTGCATGATCCATGTTGCTTACGAAAGAAATCAAAGACGAAATAATTTAGTATGGGTGACTATTGATTTTTACATGGCGTGACACCCAATTAGGAGGACAAAAAATAGGAGGAAAATGAAATATAAAGATTAATGATAGTAGTTAAAACTAAAGATGCAATAATTGGATTTTAATAGAACTATGCGTTGACTTTTTGGATACAAATTTTTTTGACTCAATTAGTAAAAGATACTACCTCCTGTTCATTATAAATGTCGTTTTGACTTTTTTGATTCATCCATTTTGTTATGTATCTAGACATTAATATGTCTAGATACATAACAAAATGGATGAATCAAAAAAGTCAAAACGACATTTATAATGAATAGGAGGGAGTAGTATATTAGTAGGATTTTGAATTTATATTAAATTAATATTTAAAATAAAATAATTAAAGTTGATTCGATGTAAATATAGGAGATAGATGATATGAAATGATGACTAAATTATGTGATTGAATGAATAGTGAATTAAAAAAAATATGATCATATGATGTGAAAGAATGATTGTGTGATATTATTGATAATATTGAGGATATTGGAGTTAGACGTAGCCACTGGCCGCCCGGCCAAACTCGTTGACCACAGGTTCGAGCCCGGACCGGATTTTTGACGGGCCGGTTTAGGGTTATTGTTTCATGACCCTAGCCCGGCATGCCGGGCCGCGTTCGAGCCGATGGTCTTTTATTTATTTTTTTAATTTTTTTTTAATATTATTCTATCTTTTCTTTAAAAAATGACGACCCGGCCCTGACCAGCTACCCGGGCCATTGATTCTATACGAGCACAGGTCCGTGCCATGTCCGGGTCCTTGTTTTCAAGCTCGGAGGCCTGGCGGGTTGGGTCGTGACCCGACCTGTGTTTTGGCCATGTTTAAGTGGAGTTGAGTTAATTTTGAGTTCAGTGAAATTTTGAGTAAATAAATTTGTATACCAATATAATCTCTGGCTGCTTGGATGGCATGGAGGGCGACCGGTTATGATGGCATTTTTTGCAGCGTTGGGCGAACATCTAGAGCTTCGGGATGGGTTGCGACCACGTTTCCTTCTTTTGGAGGTCCGAGGTGGAGGGTTCCACCATCTACTACCGTGACCCTTATGGCTTTGGTGTTGGGAGGAGGTGTTCGGCCGGCTAACTTGGGTCGTGGACTGTGTACTCGAGTCTGGGCTCGATTGCTATGTTGGTTTGGGTGGTATGTGGTATGGGTTTCTAGGTGTGGGTCTCGGGTATTGGGACGTGGTTCGGGTCTGCCGGCATCCGACTTGGTTAGGCGATTTGTTGGGCAGTTTCTGGTTTGGATTCTTGGGCCTTAGCTTTGTCCGTTTGGATGGGTGTCCGTTAGCGTCATCGTTTGTTGACTTGGTTTGGCTGCAGAGGGGTAGTGTTGTTGTTGATTTTCTTTTTAGGTGTTGGTTGTTGTGCTTGTGTGTAGGTTGTATATTTTTTTTTCTTTTCTGTTCTATTGGAAATGTGTTACGTGTATTCTCTTGTTGGGAGTTTTTTTGTTATTTTTCTTTTGGGACTGTTAGGTGTTCGGTTTGTTGTATTGTGGGTGAGTTAGTGTAGTTACTTATAGGCTATCTCCGAGTAGGTTTCCTGGATTCAGCTGTTTGACTGTTCTAGCTAATTTCTAGTTGTAATTCTGTGATTTTACTTTTTATAAAATTTCTACCGTATCCAACAAAAAAAGGGGATATTTTCGATTTGAGAGTTTATTTTAATTTCCACAAGACTCACGAATAGTTTATAACTTTATTTTAGTATCCACTCCTTAATTTGTGCAGCATGGATCGAGGTTGAATATTAGGAGAAATTATCTTTACCCCGAAGATTCGCGAGGTTTAACATATATTGATTCTGAGAGTTTATTTTAATTTTCTCAAGATTCATGCGTTCACTAGTACAACGCCCGTGTATTATATGGGTGCTTGTTAATTTTTTTCTTAAAATATTAAATTAATAAAAAAAAGTAGTATGACACTTTTTATTTATGCGGCTTACATATGTTATATTATAATATTTTTTTTAACTTACAACATATAACTACATTAAACATAAATATATCACTTAAGAAATAATTTTATTTTTCTAATGAATTTTAATAAATATTATTATTTTTCTATTATTATAAAGATAAATATAATTTATTTATTTCATATATACAATATGATGTCAAATCGAAGATCATTAAAAGATGATTAATTTGATATATTATATATGTAAAACTGATAAAAATACAAAAGTTATCAACTTTTAAAATACATTTACAATTCAATAGTCAACTAAAGGAAACAAATCAAAAGTAGGGATATAATATGCACTTAGTGTCTCACTATGTAAAATTACAAAGAATTAAATGGTCATATTAGTAAAATTACAAAGAATTAAAGTGATATTAAAATACCTAAGTTAGCTAAATAATATTTATGGAACGATCGAACATAGATTATTAATTATTAATATATCAATATTATTTGTCTAAATCTAACTGAAGCACCAGAAACAACCATGTAGGCTCAGCGCATTGAGGAATTATATATGAGTGATGTATTTAATTATCCACTCAGGAGAAGTTGACATCTTCATTGTAAAGTGGTAAACTAATCCGGTAGTTATATTTCGTTTTTCTTTAACTAGCACTGTTATGAATTTAGACTCGTATAAGCACGAACATCCATTGCAAGTAATCACATGAAACTACCTTTTTAACTAGACAATTAAATTTTGAACGAACGTAATAATTACCAAATTTCACATTGAAATTAATCTACTAGTTTCTAATTAAATTGAAGAAAACAATTAATTATATCCTAAATATACAATTCTGCTCATCGGATGACATGATTATGGAGCAGGCTACACCTATTCACAAATGGTGTATCAAATTCTTTTGATAAACTATTACATCCAATCACAATTCCAGTTGAAAAAATTTATCTGACGCATTAAAAATAAACATAATTTATATCCGATCATCCGATCATTCCTTAAGGAAATATCTAGCACGCAACTTGACATCCTTTATTCTGCGCCAAAAATTTCTCATGGTTCCACTTATATACTACAAGACAAGTAGATATATCTCATATTACCACTTTCATGTAATTTATCATTCAAATCCATAAACAAAAATCATACAAACAGGATAATACTAGTCGTGAACATAAAAGAAGTAGCCACAACACAAATGTCGAGACTCACCTCAACAAAGCTTAAACCACAACTTTATCCCAAAAAAAAAAAACACCCAAGTCCTTCCTTAAGGGGAGGAATACCTGCTGGCCGACATCGACCTAGACGAAGACGACGCGCTCGGACTCCTCGAGTGGCTCCTCGACGACCGCCCATCACGCGACGGCCCACGGGACCCACTCCTCTTACGGGTCGACCCATGTGACCCACCTATCCTCGCAAATGGTGACACGCTCCTTGAGTGGTCCCTTCTCGGAGACGAGTAGCTCCTGCTTCTCGACCGCCCGGACGAGACGCTGCGCGAGTAGCTCCTCCTCGACCGCTGCCACCTGTATCTCGGCGGGGTCATGCTCCGGTGGCGGCTCCTCCTATAGTGCCGCTTGTCTGGCGAGTAGTCCTCCCTTCTCCGGCGGTACCTCCTCTCGGGTGAATCATAGTAGTAGTAGCGCCTGCTCACGGGGGACCCACTGTATGATCGAGATCGGGAGCG